GGCCCCCTGAAAATGGCCGTGCCTCACGGCTCCTTCACCACCAGTTCAGTCACGCGTGCACAAACACCCCCCTCCCAAAAAAACAGGGGGCTCGAAGCGCCGGCAGCAAACAGACCGGCATGGCAAAGCCCAGCTCCCCTCGGCTCTCCAGCATCTCCTTCCTCCACCCACGGGCACAGCCGCTCGCCCACCTGCCCTCCCCAGTAAGACAGCTCTTGGACTTGCGGGCTCTACAAATAATTTTATTGAAATTTAGCAAAAGTGGACAGATGCACTGGGAGGAAGGACCATAAATAGTGTACGTTTCCCAAACCCATGGGTCCTACCCACACACTTGAGGAGCAAGGAGCCTAGTGTCAGTGAGTACGGTTCGGCTACACATCCACACGGGAAAGCACAACGTCGCACAGGTCAAAAAAAAAAAAAAAAAAAAGGAAAACTTTTCTTTTTTTTGCTTGCTCCAACACCACAGTGGACACAGATACTATTTACAGCAACCTTCACATTTTTAAGATCCCTCCAGGTGCTCCCAAGGCCCTGTTGCTGCAGGAGGGCTGGAGGCCGGCGGAGTGGAGGAGGCCCGGGGGCTGGCGGCTCGGGGGACCAGCCTGGGAAGAAGCGGGGCAGGACGCAGCTTGTTGGCAGCCTGCAGAGGGTCGCTGCCGCTCCGGTGACAGGGGGCCGGGTGGTGGTGGTGGGGAGAAGGCGTGTTTTTTGGGGGAAAGCATGTTTAACGCCCTGGGGGAAGGGTGAGCAGCCTGTCAGAGAGGACAAAAGCATCCTTGCTAAGCCCGTCTCGGTCTCTACCCCCCCCGGGGTTCAGCCCCTGCCTTGTCAGCAGATTTTTGGCCGGTAGCCAGGCGAGGGGCTCCCCGTTGGGGCAGGCAAACAGCACCGGCCCCCTCCCCACTCCTCCTCCGCCTTCCCCTGTACCCGAGGCGGGTTCGGTGCAGCTTCCCGCGCCCTCAGACAGCAGCAGGGCGAGGGGGCGCAGGCAGCCCGGCCGCAGCTTTCTCTCCTCTTCCTGGGGACAGCAGTCCCTGCTCTCCTGCGGGGCCCGAGGGATGCCCTTCCCAGGGAGATCCGGCCCGGGACAAACTCGAGAGCAGGCGGTGCGAATAAGAAACACTTCAGTGGGGGATTGTTTTAAGACAAGACTCTTTCAAGCAAGCAGGAGAACAAAAGATGTCGAAAGAAGCGCCCAGCATCACAGTGTAGACGAGCTCCCTGCCGGAGCCCTGCCCAGCCCTGCCCGCTTCCCTGCCCGGCGGCAGCCAGCACATCCGCTTCACCCTCCGTGCTTCACCCTCCGTGCTCGCTCCTGTCGACGGGAACAGCGGGTGGGGGGGACGCAGAGGGAAGAGGTGGTGACAGGAAGACAGCAACAGCCACGCCGCTGTTATCTCCCCGAAGCCGGGAATGTGGCCCCGCGCCCGGGCGGCTCTCAGAGGGCGCGGGGATGGATACATCCAACGTAGACACCGACAGGGCTGGCAGCCAAGTGCCAGCGGCTTAAATTAAAAATCGAGGTAGCAAACGTCTGAAGTGCTTAGAAAGTAAATAAGTTCTGGAACGAAAGAGGAGGAAAGCCGAGCCGGCTGCTGTGGGGAGCAGGCTCTGACCCAGTTTAAAGCTGCGCCCGCTGCCCCGCAGCCGGTCCTCCTCTGCCCTCCGGGGCCGGGGCCGGCCGAGCAGGGAGGCAGTGGCTCCTAGTGCTGGCGAGGGGCGGTACAGGTCAGGCCCTTCCCCGGCCCTGCAGCAGCTGACTCGCGGCCTGCACGCAGGGGTGAGAGGTTTTTCGGTGCTGCCAAGGTGACCTCGACCTTCTCAAGCGGGAGGAAAGAGGAGAAAAGAGCAGGACCTTCTGAGACAGAGCAGAAAGCCTCCCTTTAAAGTGCATCACGTTTCTCCTCCTGCTGCCAGCTGGGACACGGGAGGAACCCTAGTTCACATCGCCAGGGAGATTTCCAAGCCGGGGCAGGCACACCGATCGATTGTTTTCGGGGGACGGGGAGGGAAGAAATGATTTCCTTCCTGCTCGGCTCTGTCAAGGCCCACCCCACCGGGAGGTACGTTCAAGACGGGAGCGGGGGGTGAGGACGTTACGAGGAGACGCCTTGCCCAGCAGCCTGGCCCCGCAGCGGGTGAGGGACTGTGCTCGGCAGGAGCCAGCTTGCTAACGGGGGAGGCGAGTCCGCTGCAGCGCTGGGGACCTCGCTGCCGCCAGCAGTGGCCACGGACTGCAGAGATCTCCTGTGGGCAGAGGGACTGCGGGCAGCAGCGAAGCCAACCTGCCCAGAGCCAGCATAAGCAGGGAAACGCACAGGAGGAAGAGACTGAGGTCCAAGACAGCGGCATCTGATCTCCATCCCCTTCCCAAGAGGAGCGCAGCAGCCAGCTGGACGTGCTTCAAGACCAGGCCCCCCCTTAGCCTTCATCCTCCATCAACAGACCTGCCCCGGGGAGCATCACGTAACACCTGTGTCAAGCGACATGCCGCAACACTGGCCATCTAACCATCGGGCCCGAGGGATCTCGGGGCCCCGGGCAGCGCGTTACCTTGCCCTGGCTCTCCCTGGGCTGCATACCTGAGAAGCAGGGGATTTTGTCTGGTGAGAAGTGCAGGCTCGCTCTCCCTTTAACAGCTCACACACAGCAGCTCGTTTGCAGTTCCAGTTACCCATCAAATGTCGGCTAGAGGCTACAAAAGGTATTTTAGTCTTCTGACTCAAGCGAGGATGTTTGTAAGCAGTCGTTGCACAAGGTCACCCATCTCCTGCGAGGAGGGCTAGCCAAGCCCAGCCCTGCCCGCTCCGTCCCGCCTCACCTCTGGGCGAGGGGAGAGCCGCCGTCCCCGCCGCGCCCAGAGTCCTCCTTGGGTGGGAACACGACGCAGCCTCGCCTGGTGAGGCTGGGGGTGGTGGGGCAGGGCCTCCCACCCACAGGCAGCAACGTCTGGCAACTCACACCTCGCAGATGATCACCGGGAAATCCACGTGAATGCGAGGGTGCTCTAGTTTCACTATGCCCTGAAAGAAGAGTCAGAGTGGTGAGCAGGGGAGACCACCAAACAACAGCCCCAAGCCCTGCAAGTCACCCCGTACAGAGGTGACATCATGCCCTCGAGGAACGTGAGTCTGTAAAGCCGCCGTGACGCCAGGTACATCTGAACAGCAGCAGGCAAAGCGAAAGCACTTTGCCCTTCGAACTTGTCCCTGGAGAGCCGAGAGAGGCGCGGCTGGCTGCCACACATGGCCGGTCCGGAGCTCAGCAGGGCGAGAAAGGAGGGAGCTGCTCTGCCAGGCACTGCCCGTGCAGCAGCTGGTGCGTGACTGGCAGATATTGGCCGTCTGGGCTTTTCATCCGGCACCTTTCATTCACAGGATTTAAAAGAATGAAAAGAGCTCTCTGAGAGAAAGCAGCCAGGGCAGCTGGCGCACAAGAAAAGCAGCTTTCTATCCAGAGGGGAGGCTGCTGAATGCACGCTCCCTCCACGCCAGCTACAGGCGCCTTTCCCATGCTCCGTCCAAGCCTTCTCCTGTTACAGCACCCCGACGACCCGCTGGCAGGTGGGAGGCAGGGGGTGGAGCGGGAGCGGGGGCTCGGAGCCTGCTCTCTCCAGCTCAGCCGAGCTTTCCAACCAGGTAGGTTTCAACCCACGTCGACGAGAAGTCAGTCCCACAGTCCAAGCCTGCCTCTGCGAGAACGCCAGCCCGTGGAGCGGCGCTGAATCCTTCCCTCCATAACTGCCTGCGCAGCACTCAGAGGGGTCCCATCCCACTGGGGGACTGCTCACCCCTCGGAGCAAACCAACGGCTTGCCCCAGGTGCTCGCTAGAGCTGTGCCTTTCTGCTTCCTTAGGAAAGACTCCTGCAGGGTCTCTCTCCAGCCCTGGTTTGATCCTCCCTTTTCTCAATTTATGCCCCCAGAAGCTTCCCTACATGCAGGCTATCCTCCTCCTGCACCGAGACCCTCAGTCGGCGTCCCAGCCCCTGCCCGGCTTCACCCCAGCTGCCTATTTTAAGAGGAGACTTTTGCACTGAAGTGCAAAACGCATAGCTATCAACACCGCTGTCACTACCGAGCAGTTGGGGGGAACGTGCACACTCGCATCAGCGGGTGACGGGCTTTGGCTGCTGCTGCCGAAACCAGGGCCTGGCCCTCCGCAGTGACATGACAGTGGCTGAGCAAACACAGCACCCCGCACCTTGGGGAAGGTGGTCAGTGATGGGACGCCATGGCCGTGCAGGGCCACCTGGCACTCTGCACCCCACAACACACACCCAGCTGAGCTATCTTCCCCAGCCTGGCAGCTCTAAAGGGCTGGGGCACCGCTTCTCCCTGGAAAGAGGGGCTGGAGGGTGTCACCAGCTCTCCCTCTCCTGCTACAGCCTCGCTAGGTGACATGGATGTGAGCCAGGACACACAGGAGCCACGGCTCCGAGGCAGGAGCTGGGGGGCGTGAGCAGAAAGCCTTCACCTCCCTGGCAAAAAGATGCCCCGAGGGAGAAGGCAAAGCCGGGACTTCAGCTGTCACCGTGGTGCTTTGGCACTCAACTTTCCCCCCCCTTCTCCACATGCTACCTGAGGTATCAGGTTCTTGTGGATCCTCTTCAGCTTGGCACGCTTCCTCCCATTCTTTGTAACGATTGTCTCCTCGTAGAACTCGTGGGCGAGATCCCCGTCCTCATCGTAATACATGGAGCTGGCGAGAGGAGAGGGGAGGCGGGTAGGTAAGAGCCTGCCGACGGCTGCCGGCTTCCCGCGCCCCGAGCAGGGAAGGGAGCTGGGACGGGTCGGCACCACCAGCCACCAGCGGGCTGCAGCGGCCACCCGCTGCCGGCTCTGCGGCTGCC